ATGAGATGCAATATTCACCATATTTTTCAAGCCTGAATTTATTCCTCAAATAAGATTTCTCTGTACTTCTGATAATCTTTTACAGTTGCATAATTATTTTTGTAATAACATGTGAGGCTTTTAAATTACCAGAAATGAATGTGCAGTGGAAAAGGGAAGCTATTTTTCACTGAGTAGTGTACACAGCCTTGATTATCAGGACAAGTTTTACTGACCAGGACACTCAACACCCAGGGAACTGTAATTTTCAGATACCAGAAACAAACAAAAAGTAGCTTATTTTGTAAAGAGCTTAGGTCAGTAGTTCTCAACTGTTCTGGACTCAAGAAACCCCTCATAGGACTTGAGGCAACCCTCCATAATTTTTGTGAATTGAGTTTCACAAACCAATTTCACAAACTGATTTATATATTACAGTACTTATCTCCTTGCAGAGAGGCCTGGTAGCACAGGTAGGTGATCAGCCCCTCTGCTGAGCTTGTCACCTCACACCTCATAGCTCCCTTCAAAGGATCTGGCAGCACCCTGGCTAAGAATCACAAGTTTAGATAAAGGCCTTGCTCTGAAAGGTAAACCCATTTGCATCTAGCTTAATGGTGACTGGTGTCCAATTTCTGAGCTATTTTTTCTTTGTGTACCAGTTTCAATAGGAAGGACGTGAACTTAAGGGCCTGAACCGTTGAAGTTAACTGAAAGACTGTCATGGTCTTCGAGCTTTGAATAAGTCTTTATATTATACAAAGGTTAAATGTTGATTAACTGGCAACCCAGCTCTTTCCATACCAAATTCCAGATTTGGTGTTATTTTTCAAAAGACTGTGAAATGAATTAAAATCATTCAGTCAAGCTACCACTTGTTTTATCACTTGGCCTATCGAGGCCTCAACTCAGGACTCGGACTTAAATACTAGACATTACAAGAAAGTTAATGTGGAACATCATCATAGCAGGTTAATCTTCATAGGATAGTCTTCATAGCCACTATAAAGAGTGAGGATGAATCATGTATATTAAAGGATAAAAATAACAATCTTTTAAAATCACCACACAACTAATTTCAAAAACACAATAATTCTTCATCATGTGAGGAAACCTGTACTTAGATGCAGATTTTTGAATAATAATAACCTGTTTAACTTTAATGCAGTACAGCTGATATATGAAGGCCTTTCTAGTGCTCTGCCTTTGTCTACAGTAGATATTGACAGAAAACAAGTATTGCAAAGATGGAATTTAAAAAGGAGAAAAAATAGATTTGTGCTGCTTGGTTGTTTTCCATTTAAAGCATCTTCTGCTTTCAAGATGATAATTTATGCTAATCATTGTAAAACTCTTATTTTAACATGCAGAATGTGGCAACCTACAGTCTGAAAGGCTCACTCCAGAAGCCCATATTTTGGCTATTTCCTGTACCTATTTATAAAAAATTACACAAATTTATACTAAATTATACTGGAATACATATGTAGCCATAAACTGTGTATGGTCTTATGTAAAATGAACATCTGTTAATTTTGAGCTGTAGTGATAAACCAGCACAGTAATGTACGTGAGGGGCAAAGCAATTCTGCAATCAGAGCTATACAGTTACCTTCATTTTCCACAGATAAGAAGAAGCTGCACAGAAGAGATCTGCAAAAATCTTCAGGTAGTGCTATAGTTTTTGAGCCTCCAGTTATCTCTAGGGGACAGTTTCACGTCTGTAGATTTTGTTTACACATGGTAAATAATACTTCCTAAAATGAAACAGACAAAGAGTAAGAAAACTTAAGTAGCAAGGCAGGCATCTCAAATACATTTGAAAAATATTAGGCAACATACTACGGACGGAAGCAATATCATTATAGAGATAAAATAAATGACAAGATTTCAAATGTAGACTATCAGATTTTTTTATGTATATCAATGCAAACAGTTTTATTTTTTTCAAGGAGATAAGCTGCTTAGAAAATTGATCCACTAGATATGAATTCAACTCAGAATAGCTATAAGAAAGTTTCATTTGGCCCTACTCTATCTCCACTGACTTTTATTTATTGTACTCTGCAGTAACATGATGACATTCTTAAAGTCTGTAGATCCAAATACTACTCTTTGGGTGTGTCTACATGAGATGTTTACTGCAGAGTAGACTAATTAGCTCCACAGTAAATGTTTCACATCTACACGTGCAACCGTAGGAAACTACAGGATTCCTACACTGCGGGAAACTAACTCCGCAGCACAGCAGTACTTGTTTTTTACTCCACAGCAGCACATGTGTAGATACTGATGCAACTGGCTGGGGCACGAGGGTGCTTCAGTGCACAGCTAGTTGCTGAACCCCTGGCCCCCCTGCCAGCCAGGGCTGCTCTGAACCACCTCAATGTGCTATGGTCCTAGGCACACATTCAAATGGGGTGAATGGGAGCAATACATTCCAGTGTGATATGTGCCAGAGTTTATTACTACATGCTAATATAATAGCACATATAGATACGCCCCTTTAGAATGAAACTCACGCTGTGGAAGACCCGCATAAAACCATTCACAGCACAGAAGCAGTGTGGTAACTATAACATGGGTAGAGTTATTAGGAAATACAAATAGTAAATAATAATCAGGATAGGAAAGGATGATGGGTACTGTGGAAAATTGCCACCTACTATACAGTAGAGGAATGGGGCCTTTTATTGACAGACAAAGGCTGGAATAGCAGCTGTGAAAAGGCCTTACAAATATAGGTCCTGTTTCTACTAAAACAATAACTGGTACATGAATTGTACCAGAGAGCTCAGTAAAGTGCATTGCAAATTTAACTGCTAAAACATAAAGCAGCTCAAAGATTCTAACATGCACTGGTATGTGAATGGCATTACAAATGCCTAATGCTTTACTCCTGAAAGACCTGGGGGTTGGGTTGCTCCTGCCTCCTGAAGTCTGAGAAGAACACAACAAAAATATAGTAAGACAAGTCCATTTTGAAGAACTCGATTTGATATTCGGTCCAAGGCTGAACTATTATTTGTCTGGGTGACTTAATCTTTGAAAGTTAAGACGATAAGTCTTTACATTTCCTGAGGCTCTGTTTTCCACAGATGTGCAAAAATATGAGCAGTTGGATGCCCTTCTAATTAAACTAAAGGGTGATTTAAAACAATCTTCACTACAATTTACAAATTAAATGTTGTTGTAGGCTAATCTAAAATCTCTAATCATTAGGAAATTCAGTCCATGAAGCAACAGGGAAGCAACATAATTTTCTTGTTCAGGAAAGCTTGTAAATGCTCTCTCTTCATAACATTCCTGTAACACATCCAGAGGCAGCATAAGAAAACAATGCCACCAATTCCTCCAACATTATTATAACTGTCAATGGATTATCAGCAGCTGGTCAAGATACCCTTCTAATACAGCACACTTTTTTTAAATTCTAGGTCTAAAAGTAATGACTGAAACTACATGTAAAGAATGCCATGGTTTGCATAACAGAGATCATGAAAAGAATGCAGTGCAACCACAAGCAGCACCAGAACTCTTAATCCCAGAGCTGAGACAGCAGTCAAACAGAAGAATATTCTAGAGGCTGATAAGAAGGCATTTAGGCCTTGCTTGGCTGAGATGTTCTTGGCCGAGATGTTGCTCCAACTTGGTGTACAGTGATGTCCAAATGGGGCCACACATGCAACAGATCTTGCAGCCAGGTCTTTTCACAGAGGCATAGGGTAGAATCTGGCTACAGATGTGGCAGCCAGCTCATAGGAATCATATGAAAAGAAAAAAAAACTATTTTATTTTTCATCTGTGTACAACAACAGACAAATCTTCCTCAAATAGAAGCAATTTAATGGGGGGGTTCAAGTTGAAATCATTATGGGGAGCCCTCTGAAATACTTAATCTTATACTTTCATGATAAGATGACTTGTAGTTCACACAACAGGTGCATAAGCCAGGTAAGACTTGCTTTGATGTGGCTGTATGTTTCTTTCCTTTTCATACACTTGCAATATCATGGACTCTTGAGATTTGGAAGCAAACTACCATACTTGTGAGTTTTGGTGGCTGGTTCATCGAAAAATCCATTCAAACAAGGTTTTAAAGATGTAGTCAGAGGCAAGTAACATACTGCAATGTATTCATCAAATTGAACTCAAACTCCAGAAGATATAAAGAATGCATTTTCCTTAAAAAAGAAGTTATCAACCATTTAGAGTCAGGGGATGAATCCTTTTTCAAGGGGGAGACAACTTCTTCCTAATAAAACAAATCTGGCTGAGATGGATTGATAGTTTACAAAGACATATCAAGGCAAGAGAATAAAATGCAGTAGGAGAGCCCTATTTGGACTACGTGCTTAATATCCTAATATCACAGCGTATTCCTAGGACAGTGATTCTCAACCAGGGTAGCTGTAAGGTCCTTTGGAGATTGTGGCAGTGGAGAGAGAGAAGGTGTGAGGAAATACGCAGATAAGCACAGGCTCAGGCTCTGTCTCTGCTTGGCCATTTCCCCTGTAAACACTGTAATAAATAAATTAGTTTTTTGAATGGGGCACTGCTCAATTCACAAAAGTTATGGAGGGGTGCCTTGAGTCTATTACAGGGTCTATCACCGAGTCTAAAAAAAGGTTAAGAACCACTGTCCGACTAGGTGCCGTACTTATCTCGTGAAATGCTTTGTACCATCAATTCTCCCTGACTTCAGCAGCAGCTAAGTGCGCTCAAAAGCTCACAGGACGGGACCCTGTTATGAAACTCCAGGACGATGCCCTAGAGCTGCTTCCCGAGCCCTCAATCCTGTGAGTCCCACGGAAACAGGACAACTCATGCGTGGAAGCGCTTGCCTGAGAAGGACATAACCATAAAAACCAAAATCGAAACTATGCTGGGCATTTGAGGGCTGGTGGCAATCCTAGGCAGAGACCTAATTTGGATGGAACGCCGCAAATCATAGACACATACGTATATACACACATACTCACACACACACGTACTTTTTTTTTATTTTAAGGAAAATGTTTTGTGTTCCAAGTCAGATCTGCCAAATCAATTCCAAAACCGTGAGTCATTCGAGGACCAAACGTGGCCCGACTACTGGCAAAAAACACCGCAAATATTTTGCTGGAGGAGCAGAACTGGCTCAGCAGACAGGCAGCTTGGCTGGTGCTGCAAAAAGCAGCGACCACTTGTTCTCAGCCAACGCTGAGGGGCCAGAAAACAGGAATATAACAGGCATGGATCTCTTCACCACATACCAAAACAGTGCGGCGTTTCTTTTTTTTTTTCCAGCAAGAACCATAACATTTCCAGGCGTCCCCCTTTCCTTTCAGAGGAAAGCAGCGCTGGAAAGGACCTCACACTGTCTGCTCTAGCTCGAGGCGGGATGGCCCCTGACCAAACGACCCCGGCTAACCTGCTCCCTCGCTGTCCCTCTCTCCCCGTTGCTGTCTCTCCACGCTCTCTACTGCTTCAGTCGCCGCTGAACAGCTCCCCCTGGCTCGCAAGGCCGCTTTTTTTCCTCTCCCCTCCCTGCAGCTCCGCTTCCCCCGCGCCCTCAGCCCCGCTCCCTCGGAGCGCCGCGCGGGGCGGGGCAGGCGCCGCAGCCCCTCGGGGCGGGCGGGAAGCGGCCCACGTGGCTCGCTCCTTCCTTCCTTCCTCCCTCGTTCGCCGGTGCCGCCCAGTGCCGCTCGCTGGCCCCTCTGCCTGCGGGCCGGGGTAGCCCCGTGCTGCGCAGGAGGAGGGAGGACAGCTGTGGTGCCCGCCCCAGCAGCGCCCCCAGGGTGTCCTGGTGCCCGTGCTCTGGGTCAGCCACTGTGTGACCCCCTCACCCCCCAGCTGCCAGCCCATGCCAGGGGGCCAGCAGGGGTGAGGGCTGCACTCCCCTCCAGCCATGGGGACGGCCTCATCCCTGGTGAGCCCAGCGGGTGGCGCCGGGGAGGTGATCGAGGACACCTACGGCGGTGGCGGCGGCGAGGCCTGTGAGATCCCAGTGGAGGTGAAGCCCAAAGCCCGCCTGCTGCGCAGCTCTTTGCGCCGGGTGGGCGCATCACGGCCCGGGGGCCTCATCGGGGCCAGCTTCAAATCCATGGCCTCGGTGCAGGAGCTGGAGTGTGCGGCCGAGTATGAGCGCCTGAAGAAAGAGTACGAGATCTTCCGCGTCAGCAAGAGCAATGAGGTGGCCTCCATGGTGAAGAAGGAAGCCAAGCTGGACAGGGAGAACAAGCGGCTTCGGGCAGAGCTCCAGGTAAACTGGTCACAGTGCTGTCCTAGCCCCTCGGCAGCAGAGTGACCACTGTTGACCGCAGCCTTGGCTGGACCTGACGGTTCCTCTTCAGTTCTCAAGCGCGTTGTAAAGATGGGTTTTCCCACTTGACATCGGGGGAAGCTGAGGCACAGAGAAGATGAAGGGTTGTGGCCAAAGTTGTGCAGCAAGTAAATGTCCAAGCACTTTGTTGCTTCTGAAATTGGGAGTTGAAAGCCCAGTAAACCCCTACTTAAGAGTACAGTCCCCAAAACCAGTCCTCCATACCAGGGGTGCTCAACCTCTGTCCTGTGGGCCAAACGCAGCTTGTGGACCCTTGGAACCTGGCCCGCAGGGCTTCCCATTGTCAAGAGATTTGCTGGCAGGGGAGCAGTGGCAGTACTGCCACTGTTCCCTGCTGCCAAAATCTCAACGTCCACGAGGCGGATCAGAGCTGGGCCATGAGTCTCCCTCTGCACGGCCAGATGGGGGCTGGCCCACACATCCATCCCTCTGTGCAGCCAGGTCAGGGCAGTGCTATGCACTCCCCTCCCCTTGGTAGCTGGTTTGGGGTCAGCCCATGCCCCCTCCTCCTTCCTCCTGCCCCTTCTGACAGGTTAAAGTGGGCCAGGGTACACCCACTTCCTTCTGCCTGGCCAGGTTGGGGCTATGCAATACTCCTTCCCTGTCACAGGATTGGGCATGCCCCTTCCTCCCGTGGGGCTGGATCAGAGCCAGGTCATGCCCTCTTCCCTGATGGGGCCAGGCTGGGGCCGAGCAAGCTCCCTTCCCTTGCACAGCTGGATCGGGGCCGGACCAAGCCTACCCCGGGTGGCTCTGAGCCTGTGGAGGGACTGGGAATTCCCATCCAGCCTTCCAGCCAGCAAGGTTGTGTGTGACTGCTTTATATCTGTGCCTCTTCCAAACCATCTTCTGGAGAATCAGGCTGGCTTGCTCAGTTCTTCTACCAACTCTATGGTTGCTTAACAGAAATAACATTCAGAATTGCCTTTGGGTTAGGTTCAGTTCAGTCTGCTATTTTTTAGGTGTACAAAAAAGCAAAATGAACCACATGACTTGGCTAGTTTAAAAGTAAAACAGAACAAAACTCAAATACCTAGTTTACCTCTTACAGTTCATTGTAGTTTGTGTGTGATTTTCATTTCTTCCAGCTTGGAACTGGCCAATTTTGCTTTTCTTCTTAGACCACTACATCCTGCAATGAACTCCATGTTAGTAAATGCATGTGCCTGGGCAGACCCCCACCAAAATCGAAATGAAGTTAGTGGGGCTCCCTTGGGGATGTAGGGACTCTGTTCACAAAGGACTCATTGTAAGGACTGGGATTCTGTTTGTTAGGACATTCTGTTTCTCATTCGCTGGAGCACATTGCATTGTTGTACTGGTTTGGGTTGGGTTTAAAGCAAGGTGGCTAATCTGTGGCATGGATGGCACAAGTGGCACAGACAGCCTCTCTGTGTGGCATAAGGCAGATCAGAAAGGGGACAGGCAGCACAGTGGCAGGTAGAGCAGAATGCAGAAAGCAAATCAGCAAATTGGGAAGGGAAAGAAGCAGTAAGCAGAGCAGCAGCTCAGGCAGGGGAAAGGGAAGGGGGTTGGAGTGGCACTTGTAAAAGGCTCCGGGCTTAATATGTAACACATCTGCCATAAAGGTTGGCCTGCACTGATTTAAATCTAAACCAAAGGTCTTCATTGAAGTCAAAAGATGGTATGGGATGGCTGTGTGAGATAAGCCTGGCTGAACTTGCTACTCAACCTTACAGATGAAAAATGTTCTAAAACTTTGTAGCAATGATATTCCCTCTCCAAGATATTAATACATTAAATGTTTTCAGGCTCTTCAGAAAACTTACCAAAAAATACTTAGAGAGAAAGAAAGTGCTTTAGAAGCCAAATACCAAGCCATGGAAAGAGCTGCTACTTTTGAACACGACCGTGACAAAGTCAAGAGACAGTTCAAGGTAAACAAGATGCCTGCTTTCATTGAACATTGTTTAGATTTGGTGGAAAATAACACTTCAGATAGTGAAAAATGATCATTGCTTCATGTATCATTGCTTCATATTCTTAGACTTGCCACCTGTGTTATTTCAACATTAGTCTTTGCCAGCTTCATGCCTGGAAGGGCAAAGAAAATACAGATGGGTTAAACGTTTGCAGTTTTTAAAGGAAAAACATTTTTCTTAGTAATTTTCACTATTTAGCATTTGTAGTTTTCATTAAAAGAACTTACAACTCTTGGCATTTTCCTTTTTCTTACTAAAATGTTAATGAAGGTAAAAGCCTTAACATTTCCCCCCCGGGTACCTTGAAAAGATTCTTAGTTGTCAGGTTGATGCTTTGGGTTTTCCCTTCTTGTCTTTGATGAAGCTCCCAGCAAAAAAATGAAACAACACAATTAGTTCTTTGAACTGTTTTAGGAATTACTGATGTCATCAACTGCAACAGAAGTTGATGTCTTGGTAGATGAATAAGACCAAAATTGTTTCTGAATGTAGGATTTTCAGGTATCTCCTGGGTCATTGATTCCAACTATTTGCAATTAAGTCTACGCATTCCCTTTGTTGCTCCTGAAGTATTTTATTTCTTTGGGAGCTTATTTTTAGCTCTAACTTTTTAACTCTTTAACTTTAGCTTGTGATAGTAATACTGCATATACAGGGCCATTTAAAATACCTGTTCACTTCTTATTTTAGACTTTAAATTAACATATCAATCCACAGCAAAGTAATACATTAAATCTATTAAGAATGAAAGGGAATCTTTAAGAACAAATTATAGCTTGGCTGAAGAAGTTCACCTGTCTTGAAACTATCAATTAACAACTGTGTATGTCACTTTCCATTTTACATTTGGGATGAACAACACTAAAACCCACAATTATTTAAAAACATGATATAGGCCTTAAAATAATGAGATTAAAAAAAATAATAAATGCCAAGTTCTTTTTATTTGTCTCCTAGAATTGAACCTTTGGCTTTGCACTGTGGTCACAGTTTCAAGCTTTTCCCTGAAATTGAGTATTAGAATCTATTTTGAATGCAATCTAAGTACGTAAATCCAAGACTTAGGCATCAAATTACACAAGTTTCATGATAAAACATGAGGGTTGGCACCATTGGCTTACAACTTCAGTCGTTTTCTTTTTATAGATTTTTAGAGAAACTAAGGAAAATGAAATTCAGGATTTGCTGAGAGCTAAACGAGAACTGGAAGCCAAGCTTCAGAGACTGCAAGCCCAAGGGATTCAAGTGTTTGATCCTGAAGAGTCTGATTCAGATGACAATTGCACAGAAATTACAGGTAAAAAGTTCTACATGCTACTTTCAGAAACTGAACAAAAAATCTTTGACTAATGTCTAGAAAGTATAAAAAAGAAGAAATATGTAGACTCTGGATGTTTATAATGTAAGCTTGACAAGCAAGAACATATTTAACATTGTAAACTGTTTTCATCCTTATATATTTATATAAATAATATGCCGTGATAAATGAGATGACTGGAAACTCAAAATAAAAAGAGAAGAGAAACAGAAACACTTGGAGGCTTCCATTCACTTAAACGAACACACACACACTCGCTCACTCACACTCACACTCTCTCTCTCTCTCTCTCTCTTTCTGTTTTTTTTTCAAGTGAATGAAAGCCCTAATTTCAGGGAATATTTATAGTGACTCATACTTGAAATAGATATAGTGAATTTTAACCCTCTTCAAGTCTTTCTGCTTCTCGTTTCTTTTTATTTTGAGTTTCTGGTCATCTTACATCTTTTCCACAGTTTAGACCTTCTGTTCCAGTTTATCACGGTGACTATACATAACACATCAGGGCCAAGAGTAAACAAGCTGAAAATAAAATGAATCTTAGGTAGGTGGAACATCATTTTCCAAATTGGGATATAAGGGGAGCAAGCTGAATGGCTGTAATCTTATAAATTACAACCGTAGATATTTAATTAGTAGGGACCATCAGAAAGGCTCCCTTTATGAAACATTATTGAGAGCAGTGGTTCTCAGCCTTTTTAGACTCAAGGCACCCCTTGTTGGACTCAACGCACCCATTCATAACTTTCTGAACTGAGTGGCACCTCATTTAAAAAACGAATGTATTTATTACAGCGCTTACCTCCTTGCTGGGGGAGGTGGGGGGCAGGCAGTGGTGGCAGGGAGGCAGGTAAAGCCTGAGCTTGCCCTTATCTGCTTATCTCCTCAAACCTGAAGCCTGAGCCTGCCTTTGTGGCTTATCTCCTCACCCCTTGTTTATCTCCTTGCATGTCCTCCAGCACCCTTCAGGGGATCTCTTCAAAGGATCTTACCCCAACACCCTGGTTGAGAAGCACTGATTTAGAGAGATCAAAGCTGTTGTAGGCCCTAATGACACAGGAGGTGTGTAGAGAGCTACAAAGCATAACCCAGTGTAGCGGTGGGGATGGCAGACTCTTTGTTTATGCCTTAAGTGATATTGGACAGTGTGGGAAGTATTCAGTAAAATTGTCAGTTTCCTGGCTTTGCATCTGATCTAAAATATGACACTTTAACTAAAATAGTGCCCCCTTTTTTTTTCCAAGTAAGGATGTAATGCAGCCTAGGGATCAGTAACATTTGCCTAGAGGCCCAGTATCTAAACAGTGTTACATAGTAACCCTGTTTTGACCTCAAAAATTTGTCCTGAAGGGGGATAGCTGCATAACCTTTATGTTATGTTTTGGAATGCTAGGATTGTGTAAAGCACTTACGCACATGCTTAATTATAGTGACACAAGTCATCCTGCTGATTTTAATGAGTCAGTGTCTTACTTTTTCCTCTGAGCAGTTTCTCCTTTCTTCTTGCAAGTTTCTTCTCACTTTTGTTCCATGGTTTCTCTCCATACACTCTTTATTAAATCTTTTTGATCTGCATTTCTGTTTTTCTTTTCTTGAAAGATTTGTTTAGGATTTTCCAAGTGAAAGATTGATTGGCAGTGAAGTGATCCAAGCATAGCACAAGAAGACAGTAGGAACATTTCATCTAGCTCAGAAGGTGAAATCTGAATCTTGGCTTGCAACATCTTTTGGCTGTTTTTGTTTTGATTCTTTCTTAAACAGAGACAGTAAATTTTGAACTGTGCATGAATATCAACAGAAAAGACTATGAAATGCCTCCTTTTAATCTTTATTGGTGACCTAAGACAACCTTTGAAATCAGTGGATCTGAATGATCTATGTTATGTGGTCTGTTACCTATTTCTGTTGCAACACGCTTCTCATGCACACCGAGGAAGTACTGATTTTAGAATGACAGCAGACAAAAGCAGTGAGTTAACCTGATAAAGGGGCAGACATTTACTAGGTGGCACTTGAGCACAAATTTTAACCTCAGTGATTTGGTCTGATATTGTAGTTTAGCTAGTGAAAATGAGTATTTATTTATTTTAAGCTACTGGGGCCCAATCTGAATACTGGACTGGTGGAGCATTGGGAAGTGAGCCATCTATGGGCAGCATGATGCAACTTCAGCAGTCTTTCAGAGGGCCTGAGTTTGCTCACAGTTCTATAGATGTGGAAGGACCATTTGCAAACATAAACAGAGGTAAGAAATTGGTGCTTGCTAACTACTGGGGTCTAAAAGTTGTTATTTACAGATTGTAAATAAATGCTGTTTATCATTGAGGTATTTTGTATCCATTCTTACAAAGTTCCCCAAGGATCAAGAAGACCCTTTAGCTGTTGAGGCTTTAGTTGTTCTAACACAGTGGTGGTGCTCAACCTCTAGCCCGTGGACCTGATTTAGCACATAGAGCTGTGTCATCTAGCTCACAGGGGCTACCTTTTGGGTCTAAAAATTCGGCAGCCTGGGAACCCATAGTTGCAGCAGCTAATGCTGCTACTGCTCCCCTGTGTCAAATTTCTGGGCCTATGGTGAGCCCTGATGTCCAGATGACATGGCTCTCTGCACCAGATCATGCTGGCACATGGGGTTGCACTGTGCCTGGATCCAGCATGTGGGGTTAGGCTACACATGGAGTTGTGCTGTGGCTGGATTTGGCATGCAGGTATGTGTGTATAGAGATAGATATAGATATATCTATCTCTATATAGAGATATAGGTACCTGCATACCTTAACTGTGTCTTTTAGTGTTCTATCTTTGCCTTATCCTCCAGGCTCCCAGATTCTTCAGCTTATGATACATGCATATTGTCACAAAGTAGTGTCCCAATTCTTTAGTCCGATTAGCATAGTCATTGAATTAAATGGAACTCTATGATTATGAGGGTCTATTCAGTAGATCTGATTTCAAGATCAAGGCCTATGTGTGTTGTATTACACTGGCATAATGTGAGAGATCATGCCTGTTTTTCAGCTTATTCTAGTATTTTGTAGTTGATAACAACAGTGATCGCTTTCTAACTTGTCCTGAATAACTGAGTATGATATTCACCTGTGACCAGCAATTAGCTTTACCTTTTGGGGACCCCATGAAAAGGTTTAGTTTCAGGTTCCTACTTCTTGCTAAATGAGCATACTAAAACATAGCTGTAATGTGGGGAAAGGCGAGTCTTTGCACAGGTCGCATTGTCTAATGCTTTCCTGTCTGTGACACCCAGTATGTTTAAGTTAGTATTCAGACTTCAAGCAGTTTGTCTTTCTGACTTTTAAGTTTCCTTGGACCTGTAGCTTTGGAACACCAGCTTACTTCCTTATAAAGGTTAATTTATTTGAATTTGAGATTCTTGGTAATGTTAGACTACAAAATGAGAAGCAAAGAATTAGTTTTAAAGCTTTTTGTGATTAATTAACTTAGGGTACAAACTTTGAGAACAATGCAATTTATCAACAGAAAAATAGCAGTACATATTGCTTCCCCAGTGTTTAGCGGTATAGCTTATTTACAATTAATTTTGAAGATGCAGGGTTTGCTTGGGTATTATTCAGTTATAATAATGGACATTATTCTTGTTGGGGGATTTAATTTTTTTTGTTTGTTGGGCAGCTGTTAACCAGACTTCCTGGATACATTTCACACACCATTATTTTAAATAATTTACCATTAAAGTTCTGTGTGTGTGAATATATTAAATATGCTTCTAATATTTTCTGTTTTTCTACGTTGTATAGTTCTTCATATCGTTTAAATCTGACTTATAAAATGAAATCTAAAGTGTTCATATGAAAAATGTCTGAAAAAAATTAATTTTACTTGAGACAATAGAGAGAACTCTGTTTTTATATATTGCTTATAGATGACTGGGATGCTGCTGTTGCCAGTTTATTGCAGGTCACACCACTGTTTTCCCACTCTCTCTGGAGTAACACAGTAAGGTGTTATATCATTAGTACAGATGAGACTCAACCGGAGGTGGATATCTTCATTAGGGTGAGAACATAACAAAAGATATGTTAATTGATTATGATGAACTATTCCTCTTCTTTGTTATTTTTTTTCAATGAACCTCTGTAATGTTTCTTAAAAGGTTTTGTAGCTGCCCCTGGTCCCATTCAAATCAGTGAGAGTTTTATCAAGTATTTCAAAAGCACAAAACGTATTTAGGAAAGAAATTGGGGTTTAATTAATAGGTCTGTACTAAAGTGTAGAATTAGTAATAAAGCATGGCTAATTTATATTTGCTTTTAGAACTACTCGCCAAAACTTCAAAGAATCTGTGAAACAAAGGGGTACTTCTTTCAAGTGGTTCATTTTCCATCAGAAAATCAGAGTCAATTCAAGGATGTGAGAAAATGGGAAATTGAAAAAAGTTTCTTAGTCATTTTGCTCATGAAGTCAACTTTGTCAAGGTAAGTTAATCATTTTGCAGATTGGAAAGGCAAAGAGAAACAGATAATTTATGCATAATGCATGACTTATTAAAATCTTTGTAGCCTTCCACATACAGAATTTCTTAAGCTGTCTCTTCTAATACACCATCCTTCAGACTTCAGATTTACTAGCACAGACAGTTCAAAGAATGTATTTTCTTTAAAAGATTCCCTTATCCTGCACTTCTAGATTTGTATTATAATTGAGCATAAAAGATATCTTCATAATATGCAGATTTTTTGCTTTCTAAGACCACTGTTCTGCTTTGCATATTGATAGAATTGTAGAAATTATATGTGAAAGTCTACTGTGTGTTTCATTCACTTATCTTTCTATCCACCTGCCTGTATTACTTGTGTTTTTATTCACTTGCATATTTTTTTATGTTCCTCATGAACTTCTGGCTAACTTCATGGGTCTTTAGTATCCTACACTTCTCTGTCATGACTTAATTTGCTAAAGCTATAATGTTTTGCAACAACTGGGAACACGGTGTTTTCTGTTTGTATAATGAATTGTTGTTAGCTTACTAGAAGAAATGCGAGTCTTTGAATGAAACATACTGAATCAAAGATACTTTTAGAATCCAGTTATGATTATTTCTATTGCACATAATGGCATTTTTAGGGGATATTTTTTCTCCATATACAATGAAGGAAGGAGAAAAGGGGGATTAGAAGGAAAAATAGTAAACAGGTGTGGAGTAGCTGTTTCAGCACATTTAGAAAATAAAAAGCTTTGAGATTCTAGAGTACCTTTGATTAGGTAGCACTGAGTTTCATACTAGGGAAAGGCTTTGAACCTTGGAATCTCACTTTTGCAATATTGTTTGAGCTGGGAGATGGTGGCAAAGTAGTCTTGCTGGGTCCAAACTTGTTCTGAAGGCTCCTCCTAGTCAACCCAAGTGCACATGAATAGCTAGCCAGTTAGGTTGGGGAGTCAATAGCAGCTGGACAGCTACCCATCATTGGCATTGTTACTAACTAAGATGGGTCATTTGACTTGCACAGGCCTTTGACTTGATTGTTTATATTGTTGAAGCTCCTGATAGACTGAACGTTTCACTTCTGTGACCTGAAATCCTCTGTTAAAATATTTGGCTGCCTCTGTTGTAAAAGGCATGCCTTCTAGCTTTTGTAGTGAAACTCATCCATGGAGCTTACAGCGATTAAAGTGTTCACTACAACAGTGTAATATAGCACAAGAATGCTGATTTCCAATCTAGCTGTTTGCTGGACGACTGTGAAGAAGCCTTCTTGAAAAATCCTGAAGGAAAACCCCGTTTGATTTACCGCAGAATAGAAGAAGGCACGGTCGGCTCGGATTCTGTGCAGCAGTTAATCGAGCAAGTTTGTTACGTGAACAAAGCAAAGGTACCACGTGTATAATGTTTCTGTGATTTGTTCTAGCTTTATCACTTCAAAACCCAGCTGACTTCAGCTTTAAAAAAAATGAATTATACATTCTTGGCTGTGGACATTCAAGACAAGTAGTGTGTGATAATCCAATTTAAGTATTTTATGAAATTGTCAGTGAAATTTGAGGTCTGAATCTTCATAGAAAGCTTCTGAAAGCTTAAATAAAATTTTATTTTCAAATCTGTTAAAGGCTGATGACAGAAGAATTTTGTCCTATGTGTATTATGGAATCCTTAGAATTTAACAGCAAATGAATTTTGGATTTTTTTGAGATTTTTTTTTTGTTTTTAAATGTTTTGTGAGAAGGGAAAAACATACAATAGAGAACTCCTTAGTATATTTAAAATGTAGAGAAAGTATTATGTATTAAATTCAATACAACTTATAATTCTTATATACAATTATGCTATTGCTCTTAGAAAACTATAAATACACATTACTTTTTACCTTCCCTCTCCATAAAAAATGTCACTAAATCGTCAGTCCCATTAATGCTTAAAAAACTGCACTGATTCTTTTTCTTTCTTTTTTTTAAGCTATCAAAACAAAACAAATCTGACTTAAAGTCCCTTCCTCCTGCCTTTGCACTTGATCAGTGATTCTAAATCAGGCTGCTGTGAGAGCATTTTAATGGTGTCATGCTATATTAGCACTATTAGATGTGCAAATAGTTATACATGTTTCATGAGATAAACACAGAAATTTCAAATTGGAATACATGGTGTCAAAAACTTTCTGACCTGTCGTGGTCTTTTTGAGTTCTTTGCCACAGAAGAATTGTTCTATTATTTTTCCATAGTCAAAAAACAAATGACAGCTAAGAAGGGTCATTCTCCAAGCAGTGCCTTGAAGGTTGAGAACCACTGGACTGGATACTTAAAAAAGGAAAAATACATACAAACGGTCCTATATAGCACAAAGTATAAACTGATTTTCAGAAGCAGAACAGTTTTCTGGATTTGGATAGTTTCTTGATTTAGTAGATTTTCGTGGCAGTTTTCTTAAAGTTGTTGTACAACTTTAATTACAACTTTTATTAGCAACCAAACAAAGCTGTTTTTAATAAACCAGTCTCTAGATCCCTTTCTCAGAGCAGAGGAAAAACTCTACTGGATTTTAGATTTTCCTGGAACCTTTCTAGTCACTGAGTTGGCCAAGAAAATCTTTCCATGGTAGAGCTGCATCACTTTCAAAGGAATCCTAACTTGCAGTGCTAGAGTGTAAAACCTCTAAAGTACATTTCATTTTGAAAGGTGCCTAATGTTCTGGAGAGAACACAAGATTTGTCTATATCTCAGTAACTGCCTTCAAATTGTATAGTCAGTTTCAGAGTTGCTTCATATGTATTTTGTCATTACCTTCTTCAGATCATTGATCACATGGGAGAAGTAGACGAAGGAGCATATGAAATCGCTAACTGTGTGGAAAAGATCATTAAGCAGGTAGAGTGTATGATGCAGTACAGCTTTGCCCATTCTTACTTGGAATTATGATAAAATCATAAATGTTGGCAAAATGAGTGATATTATGATGTGATTTTAAAAGCTTCTGTTTGTTTCAGTGTTAATACTTGGAAGTAAAGAGTGTTGCAGATGATGAGAATAATTCAAGACTTATGATATTTTATGTAACCCCTGTAATGGGAGGATTAAAGTGAACATCTTGAGCACAGCTGACCTGAGCAGGTGCAGGGCCCAGGGCAAATCAGCCCATGTGGGGCCCCGCCCCCGCTCCTATCCCACAGGCCCTGGACCCAAAGAAGCTGCTGCTGCCATTGGCAGTGTTGGGTGGGGGGGAGGAGCAAGTGGCTGGACGCGGAGCCACTGCTCCGCCCAGCAATATAGGGCCCCCCAAAGCGTTGTGCCTGGAGTAGTTGCCCTGATTTGCCCCTCCTCCCTCCCCCAGGACGGCCCTGATCTTGAGATTTCTATGTATAGAGTTACCTGGACCTATATGACATATAGTCTTTACTAGCATGAATGTGCATAAATTTGTTGACATTAGTAGAGTGGCACCTATCTATATAGACTGTTACCTAAAATGGGAAGAGGGAGTGCAGCAAAGTTTAGTCAGATATATGTATGTCAACTTTATAGAGACATATACCACAGAGGCTACAATTCATACTGCAATGCAGGTCCCATGTGACATCCAAGAGTGTCCACTTTTTTTTCTCAAGAAAGTCCTGGGCAATCAGCAAATACTTTTAAGGAGTACAGTTACAGTGTCTTCATATGGTTTGTTTTTTATACAGGATATACTGGGCTATGAAAACACAGAACTGGAAGGGAAGGATTTGGGGAATAAAGAGGAGTCCACTGCTTCTGAAGAAGATGATTTTGGTGATGTACTTTGGGATGCACATGATGAACAAGAACAGATGGAAGCTTTCCAGCAGGCTTCTAGTTCAACTTGTGAGCTTGGATTTGAGAAAGTAAGTGAACAGAAGTGTACACTAATCAAAATATGCCTCTTCCTATTTTATGTGGAGCAGTGATAAAGCTATCTGAAAGGAAATAGCTTTAAGACTTTAAAGCTTTTACTTCTTAGGCTTGGAGAGATTGTATGTATTATACAGATGACATATTTCATTTCTGGGAATAATGCCAATGATGTCTGTCTTGTAGTACCATTGATGAAGAAATTAACTTTGTTTCTTCAATAGAGGAAATGTACTGATAACACACCAGTGTATTTGCCTAGGAGGTGGGTAACATACCATCCTCCAAAGCCTAAATGAAAAGTCCCAGCCAGATTTTTGGAGGAAGTGAAAGCTCCATCTGAGCACTTTGATTTTTGGTATGTTTTCACATTCCCCCCATTAAAAACATACAAGAAAAAACAAACAAACCAACACAACATATATCTTATTTTACTGTTGATTTCTTTAAGCATAGTCTTACTTCACATGTTAGCATGCATAAAAGTTAAGCAGGTACTTAGTTTTTGGGTGATTAGAACATTAATCTTGTTTATACTGGAACCTTTGTACCTAAGATTTTGTTTTGTTGGCAGTATTATGAACGTCTGAATGATCTAGTGGCAGCACCAGCACCTATTCCACCTCTCCTTGTGTCAGGAGGACCAGGCTCTGGGAAATCTCTCCTTCTATCAAAATGGTATTTTAAAAATATTTTTAATTATTTTTTTTACATTATATTATAAGCAAGAACAGCAGCACATCAGACTGATGGTAGGAAAAATGAGGGTATTACAAAATGCTTAAGTTATGGCAGGAAGCCTGTGAAGTCTAGTAACACTTAAATAGCTAATCCTATTGGCATAACCATTAACAAAGTCAGAGAGCAGGGCCAAGGAGAGCTCCAAACCTCTGCTTCTAACGAGCAGTCTGCACTGAGGAGGACGGTCAGAAAGGCGACTAATAGCACTGTCCTTCATCTATGTCTAAGGGGGAATTTCATCTCTAAAAGTTCCCCCTACTGAGGTAGGTTCATGGATCTGGGATCATCCCATTCATTTATCATAGAAATGCATCCAGAAATCACATTAGAATCAGCTGCTGTAAAACCTATTTACAGGAAACATTATTCCTTAAAAGTTTTAATATTCAGTTTATTAACATCTGAACGTCTAGTGTCATCAGGGCCCCCATTAACATCCTTGAGTCCACTGGATGATTAAGTATCTAATTAATTTTGTTACATAAATACTGCACATCCAAGCTGATATGTATCATTACATATGACAAATTTACTGTCATGTTTCTAAGAGGCAAATATATATATTTGCAAAACAAGGGCTATTGGGAACATTTTCCCCTTTTGTTCTTTTAGGATTCAGTTACAGCAGAAGCATTCGCCAAACACTCTAATTCTTTATCACTTTGTTGGGAGGCCCATGTCTACCAGTTCGGAATCTGCACTGATAATTAAACGGCTTACTCTAAAGGTATTACAAGTTATGGCATAGCATGTGTAGCATTGTCCTTTGGAATGAGGGGGTGTTTGGGAACATACATATCTGTCTAAAAGTACAAGTTCTTTTACATGGTCTGTCTATAACAACTTAGGATATACAGATGCTGATTTCTCCTATTTTATTGAGATTGTCGTACATCTGAGATAGAACTTAATTAAAATAGCATCAATGGGATTTTTCATAATATATTGGCATCAGCAGTTCCAATACAAAATATTGATGGTTTATAAAGAAAGCCACATAAGCTACTTTGACTAGTTCCTGCCGTCTGGCCAAGAAAAGAGGTAGGTGGTACCACACTGTTTTCAGACTCGTCTTGTCCCTTTGTTAATTTATTTTAAAAGTATATATGTGATATATATGATAAATAAGGATCCTGATCCTGTCAGGATCTCACACTATTGAAGCTTTCAGAAAATGGAATTAATTTTGCCCCGTTGCAGTTTTTCTGGTATAGAAGCCTGAACATTTAAGGTAGGCCCCAACCCCGCATTTTATCTTGGCTAGTTCTTCATGATTTTTAATCTGATGATGTCTCTGTAGATTAAATGCACAGAAATTCTGCAAAAAAACCTCCTTTTTCTTAACTTTCTTGCCTCTTCCAAGCAGTGAAGGGGAAATGACCTCTCATGAATATGTTTGGAAAGTTTATCAGAATCTCTTTCTTTAATTCTCCTAAGCACTGTGTAGCCATATCTACATGATACACTTAATGCACAGAAGACTAATTCTACTGTGCATTAGTGCAGCGGACAAAACCCATGCTAATGCACAGTAGACTTAGTCTAATGCATGTTAATGTCACTAAAAAAGCATTCATCTGCACTAATGTGCAGTAGCGTCGATTACAATGCATTAAGTTAATACCTGTAATTATGACACATTAATGAACATGTAGATGTGCCCGGTAAAATGTAATTGTTTATGCATGTTTAATTTTACAGCTGATGCAGCATTCTTGGTTAGTATCACCTTTAACACTGGATCCCTCAAAACTCTTGGAAGAGTTTCCTCGTTGGCTGGAAAAACTTTCTGCTCGTCACCAAGGCAGTATTATCATAATTATTGATTCTGTTGATCAGATACAGGTATGTTTCCATTCTCCGTAGCCACCATTAATGCCAAATAAACTTGGAGTAATAGAACAGATAAGTAATATCTGTAAGATATTAAAAATGAACGTTTGCTTTGATACAAAGAGAATAAATAGAAAATATTGTGTAGTTTTTGTGTATGGATTTGAAAAATATGTTGGTCTTTGTAAGTTTTATCCATAAAACGTGGTGTTTGTGGAATTTGTGGTTTTTTGATTTGTCATATTATGTAGTTTTTCAGGAGATCCAAGACTGTAGAGTCACTTGTGGGTCATGTTGTTTGTTCGGTTGATATAGTTTAAGTGTAAAAATACTATGCAGCTTCAGTTAATTTATCACTAGGCTGATTCATGTCAAAGGACAATTTAACTTCCTATAAATTAATGTGGTCTTGAACTCTTAAGAAAACTGAATGATCTTGCTGGGCTGAACAGTCAACGAAATTATAGTGATTTGTGGCACTTGTTTTTAATGACTTCTGAATTAATGGACTGAAATTTGTTTTTAAGCAAGCTGAAAAGCATATGAAATGGCTGATAGATCCCCTACCAGTGAACGTCAGAGTAATTGTATCTGTGAACGTAGAAACTTGTCCACAGGCATGGAGGTGTGTAACTGTTCATGAGTATTTCAGAGTAATCTGAGTTTAAATATACTTGCATGCTTCATTTGAAAAAAATTAACCTGGTTGCAAAACAAAGTGCTCAGTTCTCAGTGATTTTAGGGAGAGCACGTTATTCTGCAGTTAAAGAAAGTGGGAGCAAGATCAGCATGGTAGTGCTGTAACAGTTTTAGAACTGTAGTGTCAGGTTAAGGCTAATGGTCCTAATACTTTTGTATGATTAAAGTGCCTTAATTATAGAAGAATGTAGCTTCAACTTCTCCGTTGATACCTTTTTAAGGTATTTATATCTCTTTTCTTTAACATGTATCTCAGTGTAATTTTGTTTTGTCTCTAAAAGGTTGTGGCCAACTCTTCATCTTGATCCATTGAATTCTAAAGATGTGAAATCTCTTATTAATGCAGAGTGCAGCTCTGCAAACATTAAATTAACTAAAGAGCAGGTATGTCTGCAGTACTTCCATGTACAAGTTTCACTGTAGTGTAACTTTTTAAGGAAGACCTGGGAAGGTAAAATGAGTATAGTAAGGGCAGCTGACAAAAGCTGATTTCTGTTAACGTTTCAGTAGCCAGGAAAATTATTTTCTTTCGGCTATAACCATTGTGAACATTGCAACTTCAATATGGTATTTTTGTCCGTGGACTGGTAGTGCCAAATGCAGAGTGTGTATGATAAACTATTGACCAAAGAACTATATCTACAGTTGTATATAGTTCCACAGACATGTTCTCCTATTTTAATTACAATATGAATGTTATCATGTTGTAATAACTTTTTTATTACAAAATATATTTTTTCCTTGCACAAGCTGGAACGTCTTTGCAACATATTTTCTCCTCTTCTTGGGGTCTGATCCTATAAGATATGGATCACCTCTTGCAGTGATCTAATCTATCTGGTCCTTAGTTTTAAAGAAAACATATGCTTTGTAGTAATGCATTTGGTGAAAAACACATGGTGTTTGTAGACTGCCCACAATGGATCAGGTTTTTGCCTTCTAAAGAGGTGGTGACATGCACATTCTATGTTTTTGTCTCTGATCTTTAACTTTACAAAGTACTTAGTGTTGCATTGCTTACAGCATTTGTTTAAACTGTCCTAGGAGAAGAAGCTTGAGAGACATTGTCGTTCTGCTACAACTTGCAATGCTTTGTATGTCACACTTTTGGGTAAAATGATTGCTTGGTAAGTTGAGATGATCTGAAATTGCCATGTGAGTCAGTAGTTTATAGAACTGCAGATATTTTTGTCTCCATATCTTTGGGCATTTTCACATGTGTTGTGGGAAGTGGCGCCAGGCACTTAAATTAGCAAGCTGCAGTAATTAAAAGCACCCATGCATCATGTGTATCAATGTCGCTGCGTGTCTCTGCTCTGAAAGAATGGCGTTGGGGTACTTTGAACTAAAGCTCCTAGAATGTGTTTTATTTCAAAGCACACTGCCACCATTTGCCAGCTTGGAGACAGTGGTAACACTGATAAACTTGTTGCACATGGCTGCCGGGGCATGTCAGTTATTGTGCTTCAACAGACTTGATTAATCAAGTCTGCTCTGATGCGCTGGAAATCCAGCGTGTCGGAGCAGGCTTCCCGTACCTGTGTAGGAGCCCATTACGTTTAATCCATAGAGAATTATTCTGGTTTGAGATGAATCTGGTTTAGCAAAGAAAAACAGATAGTTATTTTTTTCCATTTATTAAAAAAATAAAGAAAATTCTGTACAGAACTTATGATCTATCTCACTTTGATACAATTGTTTGGATTCAGTTGATCTATTACACAGTGAATGATAAATTATTAACCAGGAAATCAAAACCCATTAATCAAATCCAAGTCGTCATTCCTTGTGTGGCTCCTTATTTCTGTCAATGCATTTATTCCCACTTTTGAAACTGATTGTAGTGTCCATTTTATTTGTGAAGTGCTCTGTCAGAAAGTCTTTAGGTGTGCTGATGTGCCAAATAAGGTACATTATAGATTACAAGGCCAGAAGAGAACTCTGTAACCCTCTGTTTACATAACTTAGTCCATCGGATTTTCCTTTCTCGTTCCAGCAATTGAACTTGTGTAAGAGAATACTTTATTGAACCTGACAATAACTAAACTAGCATAGCATAGTTAATCTCGAAGACTTGCTTTACAAACATGTTAAATAATATAACAGCATCAGCATTATTTTTATGGAGGGTGTTCTTATTCCCATTCTGTTACCTGCTTTAGTAATGATATAGTTCATACCCTCTTCAACAAAAAGGGAACTCTTCTGGTTATTAGCAGAGGATAAAAGGAATGTATAGGAGATGTTTTAATCTCTTTGGGTTCCAATCCTACGCCTCCAGAAGACAGTATAAGTTCAGAGCTCTTAGGACTTCGCAAAGCTGATTTTTAGTACTTTGTATTGATCTTGTCAAGCTAAATTTAATATACCTTTTTTAAAAAGCCCTTCTTGTCCATGTGGTTAGTGCTGGAAGTGAAGGAAATATTGATGAAACCCTTCAACAGTGTTTCCAGTGTCAAGATACAGTGTCCCTGTATAGGCTTGTTCTGCGATCAGTTCAGGAGTCTCTGCCAAATGATATGGACAAAGACCTTATGAGAGAGGTAAGCACACAGTGTGAAGAAATGTATATGCTCTCCTGTAGTTGGTTTTCCATAAATGAAAAGCAAACAAGAGGGTTTTTATTGACTCAAAGTGATTGTCAGTAACTTCATACATTATGAGGTCTCAAAGTTTTGAGCTTGAGTTCTTCACGTTCCTTGTTCATACTGAAGTCTCACTTAATAATACAGTTTTTTTTATTTCTTTCTACACATTTTAATGTAAGTGCTGAAAGAGCTAGTAATCGTGTGGTAGTCCACAGTAGAAACCAATTATTGTCCTATATTGTGTTTTATCTATTAGAACATTGAACCCTAGGCATTCAAAAACTAATATAAAAAAGGGAAACACTAGCAGCCAAAGCTGATCCTGAGGATAATTTCAAAGGTCAAATTTGTCCAAAAAACTTATAGTAGTTGTGTTTTGTGTTCCATTTTCACTCATTTTTTGTGCCGTTCTCATGAAATTAAAGTGTATATTTTATTGAACAGTGCTTCATACAATTAAGCTTGCTAACATTCCCTTTTTGCTTCAGCAAAACACCTTTTGAAGATAAAAGATTAATTTAATTTGCTTTTTAGAGTTAGATGGAAAATGACAATTTTATATAACAATTTTGTGGGTTAACAAAGACTAGTAATTTACCCTTTCAGTAATATTTCCAGCCTATGTTTTACCTGTTGTCTAAAGCAGTTAAGCTATTAAAGGTTACACCACATCCATATTTCTAAAATACCTTTATTACACACTGAAGACACAATTTTGTGTATATTGGACATGTTTCTAAAGTTACTATGTTTGTAAAACATATTGAGCCAAAATGCTGCCTCTCTGCACTTAGCAAAAACCCCGAATAACTCCACAGAAGCTAATGGGATGGGATTGCCTAGTGTAACCAAGTGTCATTTTGCTTGTCTAGTACATCTGCAGTCACATCTTTAAAATTAAATTCATTTATGAAGCCTGGTGTGGGATCTAGCCTTGTTTTCCTCTTTGCTACCTGAACTGTGTCCTTGATGTACTAAATCTGTTGCTTTACCAAGAAAGCATATATTGTCTTTTAACACCTAGCATTCAGTTTTTGTGTTGGAAATTCAGCATAAGTGCATGACAGTAACTAGTTGCTAAATGTGCTGAATCTGTTAACTTTTGTGCTGCACAGGTTCTCTGTCTCATCACTGTCAGCCACAATGGAGTGAGCGAGTTGGAAGTGATGGAACTTTATCCTGAACTGTCCTCTGCGTTGCTAGCCTCCTTAGTTCACAGTCTGCACAAGATGTGCTTGCTGACATATGGCTGTGGTTTGCTAAAGTTTCGGCACCTCCAGGTAAGGTTCTATAACACGTACAAGTAACTTTTCTCCCAAACTGGAAAAATATGCATGGATTATGCTTTTAACAACTTTGTGTAAAATCAGGAATAATTCCGAGTCCAGTTGTTTCTCCAGATTTACACCAGAATTCTGGCTTCTGTCATTCTGTCTTCCTATAGACATGCTGTACAATTTTTTTCCTAATTGTCTACTTCTGTGTTGGCATTTTTCAGAACTGTTTGAATGGTAGCAAAGCTATAGTAAATAGACTTCCCCAGCACCTACAAAATAAAAAATTACATTGGTCAGTAGAACACTCATTTGTTAAGCTTTGTAGCAGTACCAAAGAACAGTGATGGTCCAGACATGACCATTTCAAAATGTGCTAAACCACACAGCTTCAGAATAAGTTCTGGAGATCCCATGGTACCAGTGATATATAAATTAATTTCTAGTCTATTAAGTAGGTCTAATACTCTACCTGAAATATGTGATGTCTTCTTCCTTCCCAGCACATATGGTATTTTATAGGGCATTTTTTGGTGTTTCAGATTTTGTTCCTTGCAGTTGTAGTTAAGGGTTTAAAGTGGAAATTTTGAGGATTTCTTCAGTTAGCAAATGCCTGTGTTCCTACATGAAGTCCTATGTTCATGCATTCCTTCAGTTCTCATCTGATGTTAGGGGGTGCTTTCCTGAAAACTGTTAGAGTTATGGTAAGTGATGTTCACTGGCTGAAAGCTTGGAAATTAGACTTTAAAACTTGTTTTTCCATTTTTCACTAACTTTAGCTGTCCTAGAAGACTATGGCTTTTCAAAATCAAGCCAAAATTGAAGGAGCAAGGAAGATGAATAGCATAACCTGATTCTTAAGCAAGAGCTAAACTGAAGAGCTTTAGCCTAATATCATAGAATAACTTATTCATAGTTGAGTACTAACAATGTTTATTTTCAGTAATTTACAAAAAATAAGAGTGTTAATAGCTGTACCTAGAGTATTTTCCCATTTTTCAGGAACGTTGGAGAAGCAATTTCAGAATTCGACTGACATCAAAAAGGATTCTGTTTACAAGGTCAAAAGGAATACAGAGGCCCAGTGAAGTTGTTTATAACTGAAGGAAATATCAGGCTTCCTTTTTATCCACTGTGATGTTCATACATTTTCTCCTCTTAAATCACCTAGGCCTTTGTGACTGTTTTTAAACTCATTTTATAAAGCTGATTTACTTTCAAGTTAAAGATTCTGTTAGCATCAAAAGATTGTTTCCCAGCCCAAGAGCCTTGTTTGACATTTGCGTCATATACTGATGCCCTTTGCACTGTCAGTATTTAACAGATGAATGCTAATTAAAAATAATGACTCTCTTTTCAGGCTTGGGAAATGGTGAGATTAGAATACATGGAAGAAGGTCAAAATATTTCTTCATATAGACAAAAGCTGATAGACTACTTTGCAATGCAGCTAAGGTTTGTCATAACTTGGGCTCTTTATAGGTAGCAGATTTTCTTATTGTTTTCACATGGTTTCTTTTATCCAGCTTAACAATCAAGTATTGTAAAAAGAATAAAACTTGTGTTTGATCGATGTATTACTGATGCAGTGACACCTGTTCTTGGAACAGCGAATAGTGTGGGAGCTGGTATAGACTCTTAATCGGAGCCATTAAGGCCATACCAATTATCTTGTTTCGGAGCATGTATCATTGGAAGGAATGTACTAATTTGTTGTGAACCGGGACACAAAAGCAATACAGGCCATAACAGGCCTGCAAATCCAGTAGCAACCATAGGTCAGACTGTGGTAAAGGGAAGAACACCTCCCTCAGCTCCAGTGCCCAGGTATAGAGCTTAATAACTCTAGCTTGGATTTTGATTAGCATAATTTCTTTTTTTTATTGCACCTGTGAAAATAGAGTACATGGGGAATGTTAATACTAGCTGCTAGCAGATGTTTGGCTCATTTTACTTTTGAGTGACCCTGTATTTCATTGGTTCCAAGTGTGTGTTGATGGCATAAAGAGACAGTAGCCTTTGGATATTTTTTTAAGTGCAAGTGTAAAGTGATACAACCTATACATGCCATATGGGCTCTACATTAGCTGTTACCATACAGGAAAGAGAAACGGGAGTCATTGTGGACAATTCGCTAAAAACATCAGCTCAGTGCTCAGCACCTGTCAAAAAGGCAAACAATATGCTAGGGTTTATTAAGAAGGGAATTGTAAGCAAAATGAAAAGTATCATCATGCCCCTTTATAAATCCATGGACATTCATGAATATTGTGAATATCCTTGAATATTGTACCCAGTTCTGGTCCCCACACCTCAAAAAGTATATAGGAGAACTAGAGAAGGAACAGAGAAGGGCAGCAAGGATGATTAGTGGTGTAGAGGGACTTCCATATTAGGAGAGACTAAAAAGGCTAAGCCCATTCAGTTTAGGAAAGAGACACTTGAGGGGGGAAATGATAAAGTTTACCAAATACTAAGTGGCAAAGAAAAAGTAAATAGGGATTTATTATTTACTCTTTTACAATACAAGAACTAGGGGTCACCACATAAAGCTAGTAGGTAGTAACTTTAAAACTAACAAAAAGAAGTTATTTTTTCCACACTTTAATTATTATACAAATGTGTGATTCATTAGCACCATGTGTAGCTGACATTCTAGGTAGATTCAAAAAATAATTGGACAAGTTCTTGGAGGAAAGGGGCTATTGAGTATAGGAATTAGTAATACAGGCTCTGAATTAGAACTTCCTGTACCTTAAATGGTGGAGGCTGCAAGTGAAAGAGGAACAGTGGTGGTGGGGGGGAAACCTTGGTCAGACTCAGTTTGGCATCCACTCTCTGCCATTGTGTGAGATACAGGATACTGGGCAAGATGGGCCTATGGTCTGACCCAGTAAATGTAAATTCTTATGTTCTTAAACTATATTTGAAAAGTTCCTCTTTATGATCCTCCTTTTTCCCAAAAATACAGGACTAGGGAAAATAGAATGTACGTATAAGGAAGCTGGTGACTTAATGACTTGAGACCACGGGTCTTTTAAGCTTATAGTTGTGGCAGTTTTATACCTTAATGACTTTGCAAATCACATTTGCACATTTTAAATATTAGGACTCTAAAATATTTTATTTTGGTTGCTTTTATTCTGTTAGCCAAGACCGAGTGACTTGGAGAAGTGCAGATGAACTTCCCTGGCTTTTCCAACTTCAAGGTGACAAGCAGAAGCTACACAAATGTTTGCTGAATCTCTTTGTATCCCAAAACCTTTACAAAAGGTAAAAGAATAGCTATCAACCCGGCATATTATGTAAACCTGTCAGAGTAGTTCAATATCAAGATAAGAAAGGAAATAAGAAATTGTCTTTAATTTGTTTAAAACATAAGTCATGAAGATGACAGAATATGAGGAGAATATAAGATAGGCCAACATGTAATTATATATCAGGGTTGAAAGCTAGCAGAAGGATTTTTGGGGTATACAGCAGTGGCAGAGGCAGCCCCCACTATTCCCAGCTAAGGGGTTACAGCATTCATTGAGAATACAGGATACTTGGGCTCAACTCCCAGGAATCAGGAAATCTGCCTGAGGAGATTCATCCTAAATCTCCCATCTCCTGGGAGAGTGATTTAGAGAACCATCTGACATGGTACCAGGGCAGTTTAATTTCTTCCTCCTGCAGCTGTTTTACTTTACATGAAATGATTGATTAATTGGGCCAGAAACATGAGAGTAACTCTAGTGTACAGGCTGGGGTACTTGTGTGAAAAAGGACAGACATGGGTTCCAGTGCCTGCTACAGTGAGTATTTCATTATTTATCCAATGACTGTTCAGATATTTTGTTGTTAAAACACTCATTCATTGGAACAAGAACATAGGCTCCAGCCTCCCCCTGCTTCAGTGGTGGATACCCCAACTAATTATTCAATGGAACAACTTATCCAGGAAAGATGGAGAGCTCTTCTTACCCAGAATAGTCTAAGGCCTAATGGTTGGGGCACTCTTTTGGAAGTGTAACATTTAGATTTGAATCATCTTGGGCTGTCCACTTTGTGAGTGAATGGAAGGACAGGGGTATGGAATAGGACTGTTTATGCCCCTGCTCTTCTGTGAATATATCTCTTAATTTTCTTTCCTTTTCTTACAAGTTCCCAAAGCTGAAATGGTTTGTTTCAAATCAAATGGACTTGGCAATTTTTTTATTATAAGAAGTACTGAAAAGAAATCAAGATTTTTCTCCCCCTCCCTTTCCACTTTTCTTTTTTTTGCCAAAAAACAACAACAAAAAATTGTTGGTGCTAGTAAGCATTAAATGGTGGTAGTAACCATGCTTCAGTGTAGGATGCATCTGCATATTCTGCTGTGTGGGATAGACCCTGCCTTGTTGACTGTTAACCATGGTCCTGTGAAGATGTGCACTGGGGGTGGGTATGTGTGTGATTCTGCTGTCATGGAGAATCTTTTCATTCTGAGTCGTCACAATTGGGAAAGGAGTTAAGGGGATATATCAACCACCTTATATGTTACACAGCAGTAACCTTCATAGAGCAGTTCTGCAGCCACTTTTTAGTGTAAGGAGGATATCTGTGGCCTCCATATACATACCCCTTACACCATGAAATCTAGCTGAGAGGATAGGTTTCTGAGTACTTATATTTGTTATTTTGTATTTTACTTCTAATATATTTTCCCTATTACAACAGGGGGCATTTTGCAGAATTGCTGAGTTACTGGCAACTTGTTGGGAAAGATAAGAGCTCCATGGCAGCAGAATATTTTAACTCTCTAAAGGAATATGAAAAAAGCTGTGAGGGAGAGAAAAGTATGCTCTGTCTGGCTGATCTTTATGAGACTCTAGGCCGGTTTCTTAAGGACCTAGGCCTTCTCAGTCAGGTAAGTGCATCTCTGGACCAGTGTAAAAACAAGCATGAAACTTCAGCAGAGCATGGCACACAGTGTTTTGTTCCAGTCTGCTTTATACAAAATCTTGCTTGCCATAATCTTCTTCTTAATTTACTTATTACAGGCTGTTGCACCCCTTCAGCGTTCTCTGGAGATCCGAGAGACTGCGCTGGATCCAGATCACCCAAGAGTAGCCCAGTCCCTTCATCAGTTAGCAGGAGTTTACATGCAGTGGAAGAAGTTTGGAAATGCTGAGCCATTATATAAACAGGCTCTGGAAATCTCTGAAAATGCTTATGGAGCTGAACACCCCAGAGTTGCTCGTGAACTTGATGCACTTGCAACGCTGTACCAAAAACAAAACAAGTAATATTAACAGAATTTTTATTTTCCCCATTTTCTCAAAATGTTCAGGTCTTTCAAAGTGATTATATTATCTGTTCATTGCTATGGTTGCATATTTTAATAGGTTAATTTATGTGTATAACTGTCAGCAACATAAATAAAAACAATATATCTGTGTCAAAAGGAGAGAGAGAGAGACGAGTAGCAGAGGCTTAGCAAAAGGGCATTATTTATATGTATATATTTTAATTGAACATGCCAAAGACTTTTTTTTTTAAATGTTCATGCAGAATAGTCATGAACCAGCATGACCTAAGAGTTAGGTATCATTGTTAACATCATTTTGCCTGTCTTTATCATTGTGCCTGTGATAATGGGAGGGAAAAAAATCTCCTAAATATATTTTTGCTAATCTGACGAACTGAAGTACTAACCCCAGACAAGAGTGTAGGCTGAATTTTGCAAGACTAAGTGGAGATGCCACTGTTATCTAGAACGGCAAAGTGTATGCAAATACAACATTTTACTTTATTTTATTATTGCCCAGTGAGGTAAGAAATGGTCTCCCCATTAGGCACAAAGGTAAAATGCTTTACTCTGTATGTACATCAAATAAATGGCTGTCAGTGACAGAGTCAAGGTCTTCTTAACTGTAATGCAGTGCTTTTACTGGATTCTCTAATTCTCTAACTGTAATCCTTCCCCCTTCCACATACTTGAATGTCCTAAAAATTTCCTGACACTTCTTAAGAGACCTGTCTTCTTCCTGTTATATATCCCAAGATATTGAAGGTCCAAAGAAAGGAGTCCTCCATTGTTTCCAGCGGCCAAAATAATATTCATGTGGGGGAAAAATATTGGAGACTTAAGGCATGGACCCATAAAATAAGTTACTGTGAAGTAAGGCTTCACATGTAGGCTTCTCCACAGCAACTATCCACATTCTTAATCCACAGTAAATGAAGGCTAATCCACGGTAGTTTGCTTTCTTCTGAGAAAGGAATAGGTTCTCACATTTTAAACCTTTTTTGTTGTTGGGTAAGAGCACGCACATGAATTTACCACATTAAATCCATGCTCCCCTTTTTTCTCTTGATATCCTGTTCATGTACCTATGCCTTTGTTTAGGTAACAGCCATTCAAATAGTTCTTTGGTAAAGTATGTTCTTGTGGCTTTGCAGAACCACCTGTTTATGCATGTATTTCTAGAGGCACTTGTCAGGATTGTTTTTCAGACCCCACAAACTATCCACAAATGAAACTGAGTTGAAGACACTGAATCCTTCCCTCCTCAGTCCTAGAGATGTACCACAAACACTCTAAACTAGTGCCCAATTCATCCCTCTTAAGGACTTTCTTTTATGAGCAGTTGAAATCACAGTAGCTTAGCTGAAGTTTCCTGTTCCAAATGCCCCTAAAATTTTCTGTCTTGTACCTCAGTCCCCGTTATGAAAAATAATTGTAATCTCCCTTATATTCTGGTTGAAGTTAACAAGATAGACCATCCATTGGTAATTAACATTTTTTAGGTAGGATTCTATAACCTGCTAACAGGGTCAGAGTAATAAGAGAACCTTTCTACCCTATTGTACTCCTAGGCTAAGTACAGACCATCATAAAGCCTGAGGCTGAATTGGTTCAGTCTTCGCAGGTTAGTCTGAGCTGTGTAGATTGAACTGGTAAGCAAGTGAACAGATATTCAACTCCGATTCCAGAAGTGTAGCCACATGTCTGCAGTTTCCCAGGCCAGAAGCCAGGGGGTGCTAGAGCACACCTCCCTGCTAGGCTCAAGCAGACAGCTTTGGCCAAGGCTAGTCCACTCACCTTGTGGGTGCAAAGGGTGCTGTCGTGGAGGTGCAGAGTATCCTGGGATGTTGTGGGACTGTGAGTTTAACTTGAATCTGTAGGGGATCTGGGACAGAAGTTCACTAAACTGATTTAACTTAAACAATTTAAGTCTGATGCTGCATCCATCCAGCTTTATCTTAAACCAGTTTTGGCCATTTTGAAAGTGGTTTATGTGCACTGAACTTCTGTTGTTACAGATTTGAACTGATTTCCAATCATTTATACCAGTCTGTGTAATTTCCGTCCCTAGCCCTTGTCTAGTCTTAAGCATTTAGTGTACTTTCATTTTTGACGAAAGGTGAGATTTTCAAAAGTACTTCAGTAAGTTTTAGGGGGAATTGTGTTACTATGGGTATGTCTACATGTGCATTTAAGCGTGCCTAAATTAAGCAGGTTTTAGGCATGTGTCTACATGTGTAGACGTTAAAACACATTAATGCTGCGTGTGGAGTGACTTGGGACTAAATTTAGTCCCAAGTCACTCCACATGCAGCGTTAATGCACTTCCATGTGTCTACACATTAATGCGCTTTAACTATTTGCACCTATATTTGATACCTGCATTTGCAGGTATCAATTTTAGGCATGAATAGCCTAAATTTGCCATTTTTAATGTGCATTAATTTAAACTAATGCACATTAAAGTGTCATGGGTAGGTGCACCCTATGTCACTTAAATGCTTTTGAAAACCATACCTAGATCATACACTGCTGCTATGTATAGCTTTCTAATGTTTTAAATGATTCTTTTCAGATATGAGCAAGCTGAACAGCTGAGGAAGAAATCCTTTAAAATACGACAAAAAGCAGCAAGGCGGAAAGGCAGTTCGGTAAAGAAAGATCTGATACTTTACTTAATTAAAATATGGGCAAGATGTAACTTTGTTAAATGTCGGAACAGTTCTAGAAATTCAGTGCTCAAATGCTCTAGATTATTGAAAGCATTGCTGGCTGATATAATCAGTTTAGGAGAATTGGCCTCCTAAACTGATGCTTTTTCAGCTTTAGTGGGATTACAGGTAGATAAATGCAACTGATATATACTGGTGATTACTAGACTATAAAGATGTGGATGTAAAAACATACTGCAGATATCAGGTTTTATGGTATTCAGAATTTGCATTGATCTTATTTGTAAAATGAGAATGGAGAAGGTATCTGTAGTTGTCCAGTGCAGAGCTGCTTCTACAAACACTGCTCAGTGAAGTATGTATTGCCATGGGTAATCCCAGTAGTGACAAAAGCATTAATCACTACATTTGGTCATACTTACTAGGCCAAGGTTTGCCTGCCCCCGCCCCCCCCCCCCCCCCCCCCCTTTCAAAATTTTTTTTTTCTCATTTTCCTTTTATTTGTTTATGTATAATATCCAGCTGGATTCTTGTGTCAGAGATTATTTTGCCTTGTAGAGAGGGAGGAGTGCTTGTATGATAAGAATCCAGCTAGGAACTATGCATTTGCAGTGTCCTGCAGAAAAGCAACAAAAACGTTATTTTCCCAGCATGGTTATTTCAAGATAAATAAATTCTGGTTGCTGGGATTTTACTTTGTCAGCTTATGTAATAATTTTAGTTATGCAAACATTTTATTAGCCCTATAACTAAAGTTTAAGTATTTTAAGTGTTTTAAGCATTACTGAAATATTTTTTTCATGAATACAAAGTAAAAATTAAAAGAGCAACCAAACTTTTAACATGCCAAAGTTTTACAAAATCCTTGAATAATGTCTTACAGTGGTTTTATTTAAACTTTAGAATGGGACATTGGTTTTGAATTCCATTAAGAAGTGTTAAATAATCTAAACAGATGGCTCAGACTGGAAAGTTTAAGAAAACTAGAGTGCATTGTACAGGGAAAATAAAAGTGGGAAATAACAGACTAAGTGTATATTATGGGTGAAATTGGGCAAGCAGGAGTCCTGTGTGTCACTGCTCTCAAAACAGGGATAAAAATGGGACCCCTGTCGTGCAAAGACCTTCTGAAGTTCTTCTGCACAGAAGTGAGTTTCAGTGATATGCATTAAACTTCTGCAATAGTGATAGATTTTCCTTATCTTGTGCTTTGCTTTAGTGTGGATTTGCTCTTCTTCGTCAACGAGCCCTTCAGTTGGAAGAGCTTACCTTAGGCAAAGACACACCGGATAATGCACGAACCCTCAACGAGCTCGGAGTTCTCTACTATCTGCAGAATAACCTGGAGTAAGTAGTGTTGTAACGCATCTATTGATTGTCTTTTTGGATCAAGAAAAAAGCATGTTATGTGGAACCACCTGAAGAATTCTCAGTGCTAAGATTAAACGCACCAAATACTAAATGCAGCGTCCTATCCAATTTCTTTTATGGCTTTTGTTATGAGACTTCCAGTATTACCTGGGCCAATGTACAGTGACCACCATTAACATGGATATTTAGCAAGCCATTGCCCTTCCTGGGTGAATCTACACGTCAATTAATGCAATGCAATAAACTCTGAAGCTGTTTGAGCCAGAGGAAATTGCTCCCCGGTGCAGCGTCTACATGTGTACCTGGGGCAGCAGCAATTTAAGCTAAGGCAGAGCAGCCCTGGCCTGGCAGAGCAGGGGGGACAGCCCAGGGGTCCTGGGAGCAGCATCAGGCAGTGGAGGGGCATGGTTGGGGCATGAGGGTGCTGAGAGTGCAGAGCCATGTGGCTAAGTGTCAGGCCGCCCCCATGCTTTAGCAGCCTGATGCCCCAGCCATCTCCCGTCACTGTCTGCATGTGCGTTTCGGTGTAGTTATTCCATCGTAAGACAGTACTGTCCCTCACAGTTAATTAGTCTACTCCGCAGTAAAGCGCATGTATTTATGCACCCCCTGGGTGCTGCTACTTAAGGTGTGTTACAGGTTGTAGATGCCTCGTTTTTATTTATACCTTTTTATAATGGTTCCCTATTGTATAGCCTATTGTATAGTGTTCTGTCTCTAACAGCAGGACATTTTTCATATAGCAAATATTTTGTATTCAAATGCTAGTGTTGTAAAGAGTTATGAATAGATTAAAGTGTGTGTATGTTTATATATAATGCTAACATCTTTGCATCAATATCTGGCCCAGAGATTATCTAATGTGCTGCAAGAGTGGTGGAAGTATATCATGTAAAATGAACTGAATTGGCCTGTGGCTAGTTTAGCCCAGTGGGGCTGGATGGGGCCCCAGCCAGACTGTCCCTGTGATGCTAGACTGGGGCTACAAATTGAATCTGGCCTGTGGACTGGTGGCTGAAGTGTACCACCAACTTAAATCTGGGGGGAAAAGTGTGTCCCAGGTATCAGAAATTTGGGAAACACTAATCTGGGCACTTGATGCAGTGTAAAATGACAGAGTGGTATAAATGAGGTACCAAAAACAACATTAACTAGCCTGAAAGGATTTCTCTACCACAGCCGTTTTGTACTGGCTTACCTGTTACACATTCAAGTCAAAGTCAATTTTATTATTAAGAGCTAATATTTGTATAAATTATCGTGTAAAATATTTTGTGTTCCACATTGTTGCTTGTGCATATTTTATACAATTATATAAACAAATCATGCACCATCTTCCAGCAAAGGTCCCCTGAAGGTTTGAGTTGTTGTTTTTTGAAATGGAGCTTTCAAGGGATATTTTGAGATGGTTTGGTACAACTGAAAGAAAAGCAATAACAGAAAGGAGCTTCAATTTTATCTCCTATTATAAATTTAACTCTGTTATCAAGGGAGAGCATCTTTGGTTCCTGCATGGGAATGCTAGGATTGAAACTGTCTTTTGAGTATAAATAGTCATTCTATCTCTGACGTGAAATGAATAATTTCAGTTTACTAAATTGACCCCTTCAGGAACAAGGTTATACAGAATTTGTCAGGATGACTGCCCAGTTGAAACGAATATTGCAGGGATTATATGGGGACTGTTCAGTTTGTCATAGGCCTATTGTAAAACAAATGTCATATTAACAGACAGCCAAAAGTAGCTAAATAAATTACATAACAGTTTTACCATTTAAACACTTGAAAAAGGGACTTCAAAGAAAACTATTCCCTCTTCATCATGTTGGGACAGATCCTAACATGTAAGTTAACATATCTCTATTGACATCAGTGGAGCTATGCTGACCTATAGCATGTTAGAATCTAGCCCAGGGGTTGGCAACATTTTTGGCTGGAGTACCAAAAACACCCCAACCTCCACCCATGCCTTGACTTGACATGCTGGAGGCAGATGGTAGGGGAACCATGAGGGGCCTGGTCCTTGTTGCTGGTGGCAGGTGCATGTGTGCCTCCAGGTGGACAGCAGGGGAGGGGCCAGGGTTGCACTGCCCCAGGCTGCTTCCTGGCTGTGCGCCATGAGTCATATGTACAGCTGCTGCCACTACAGAGCTGGCGCTGGGGCTCCAGACCCTGGTGCAGTTGTTTGCAGCCTGCTCGCCTCCTGCTGCAGCTGCCCGTAGCTCAGGTCAGCTGTGGCAGGCAGCTGGGAGGCTGCAAACGGTTGCACTGAGGTCTGGAGCCCTGGCATCAGCTCCATGTCAGTGGCAGCTGTACATGTGCCCCAAGTTGCATGTGCAGCCACCACTGCCATGGAGCCTGGCCAGGGCTCTGGGCCCTGGTGTAGCTGTTTGCAGCCTCCCAGCTGCCTGCTTGTGAACAGCCTAGGCTTCGTGGCCAGCAGCAGTTGCCCAGAGCCTGAGCGAGCTGTGGCATGCTAAGCAAAATGGCTCTGCGTGCCATGCTGTGGCACGCATGCCAGGGATTGCTGACCCCGATCTAGCCCATTATATGAGATCTTATCCCTGTCTCTCCACTACGTAGAGAGACATTATAATTTATTTTGCAATCTTTGAAATTGTTTGCAAAGAATGGGACATTCTAATAGCTATTTACTGATTCTCTACATCCATAATTGCTCTACCTGATAGCAAAACTTGATTCATGTGAGAAGTTGCATTGAAGCCTGTGTTACTACTCACTTGAGTAAGGATTATTAACATATTTAAGGGAATGAATCAGACTAAATGGGAACATTCAAAAGATGATGTCCACATACACAAGCCTTTCTTCCAGCACAAAAAAGAGAGCTGTACAGATGTTCAAGAGATTTCTTGCTGAAAAAAAATAGCTCTCCTGCAAAAAGATAGCATGGTTACTTAATGAGGAAGATTTTTCCTTCTCCCAATCTTACTTGTATGTCTGTATGTTTCTCTTGGGGGAGAGAGATACCCACTCACAGTAGTTTGCTCCTGTCCCTCCTTTCAAGAGAGAGGGAGGGAAGGAGAGCGCTGGCAGACCACCCCTGAGCAGGCTATCAAGAAGCCCTTTGGGGACCCTACACTCTGTCCTGCTAATCACCTGATAGGCAGAGGGTGAGAGGGACGTTCTTCTGATGCAGAATTCTCTTGGAGCCCCCAGAGGGTTCCTACTGCTGCAGAAGAGCTGCCGTCTGGTGCACTCCTCTGGTTCAAAACTGAGAAGTGTAGCAGAGGCAGGTGCAGGGCTGGAGATCTGGAGTCCTAGGAGGATCCCAGCCCTGGGCTCTAAATGCTGTGTGTAACATGCAGCTGGGCAGCCAGGTCATTTAAAAGCCAGGGAGCCAGGCCCCAGGGTAGAGAGAGTTGTCCTTGGCCCCATTTCCTGGTGCCTCTGGTCATGGATCACCCAAGGTGATTTAAAATGGGAGCACTGTCTGTTGACAGCCTGCCCTCTTCCCAGGCAGGGGAGAGGACAGGTTGTCCAAGAAAGGGGTGGCCTAGAGAAAAGCCCTGTAGTGTCTTCTTTGGCTGGAGACCTTGTCTGTGTAGCTTTCCAGACAGGGGGCAGGAACATGCATGTATTCTGCAGCTCCAGCCCTTATTTTGTACAGTCAAGAAATTCTTACTCTTAGAAATGAACATCTGACCCAGCCAGTGTAATATAAGCAGAAAATTTACCTGCCTAGAATAAAGTGTGGATGTTGCTTTCCTACTGTTGGAGCTGAACGATTGCTTAGTTACCTGCAAGTTCGACAAAATACTGTTCTTTAATTACTGGCTTTCTTGAGTTGGTTGCTTAATTATTCACTAGGCCTGTTCCTCTGAACTGCTGTGCTGCATTTACTTCACAACCTGAAATTTGTGTTAGATGGTATTAACACTTCTGCAGATACTGAGGCCAGGTCAGTTGCATTTAAAGGTTTTCGTAGATTTTGAACAGATTTGAAGTACTGCTGTGTGGATTTGTTTTGTAGGACAGCAGAACTTTTTCTGAAGCGCTCCCTGGAGATGAGAGAACGGGTGTTAGGACCAGACCACCCAGACTGTGCACAATCCTTAAACAATCTGGCAGCTCTGTACAATGAGAAGAAACACTACGATAAAGCTGAGGAACTCTATGAAAGGGCTTTAGACATTAGGAGGAGAGCACTAGCCCCTGATCATCCCTCCCTGGCTTACACTGTGAAACACCTTGCGGTACTCTATAAAAAGATGGTAAGTAGATATATATATATATTTTTATAGATCATTAAAAAAATAATGCAATCATTACCTAAAGAAAAGCCGTTTTGATTGCTGTCTTAATGTATAGGACACACAGGCCATGTCCACACGAGCCACAAAATGCATCCCACACACGTGATTTTGTTCTCCGCGCTGCATATTTGCAGCACTAAGCCAAAGTTTGATACCAGGACACCCAGTATAAAAAAAATAGCGTGTGGTAAAAAAGTAGGTGGAGCATGTGATGGTAGCGCGTGCCTCTCGAAACCTGAGCCTGGCCCTGAAGAGCCATGCTTCAACTACTGGCTAGGCTCCATGCACCTGGATTGCTGCCGCTGGAGCCCTAGGAGGCCCCTAAGACTCTAGGTAAAGCTGCTGGGGCCAGCCCAGGTGCTGGCCTCAGCCTCCCCTGCCCCACCTGGAGTATTTTTCCCTGGGCTAATCCCACATGCAGGGGCATTTGCCGGGGCAAAAAACAGCAGCATGAATTTGTGCCACTGCTTTTTTCACCGAGACAATTGCATGCCCCTGCTCATGAGGATGCGGCCCCATTGGCTTTCCTTTATGATGCACATTAACTTATTTATGAATATTTATCACAAATAAAAATATGCTACCTGTGTAAAAGCCAGTGTTATGGCCATTGTCAGGGTCATTTTTTTCCACAGCTGTATTTGAATTCCTCTGCATACTGTATCCTTGAGCAGGAATTTGTTCAAATGCACCCTTGGGCAGAGATGATGGTTTTGACCCTTAGGAATTATTCTGACTGTTACACATGAAGCATATCAGTCAGCTGAGAATTTATTATAGATTTGGCAGCAGCTTGCAGAGTAACAAAGAAGTCAGCCTCTGGATAAATAACTATGCATGGAGCTGTCAGCTCAGTGAAACATAGCCAGTCATTTTGGTGCTGCTTATAAATTTCATAAAGAAGTAAGGCTGGAAGGGACCTCAAAAATCAGTTCTATTAGTATTAGCAATAACCCATTTTTTGTGCTTTATGCTTTGCAAATACTAGCTGTCAGATTTTGGCTCATCCAGCCTTTTTAATAAATTAATATTAGAATCCCTACCTTTAACATAATTTTTAATAATCTGCCTTTGGACATTCAGTGCTCACTATATAAACTGTAACATTTCCTTTTGTTTAAACTTAATTCAAATGACTTAACAATTTTCTTGAGTGCTCCTGCATTTTGCCATTCTTATAAGTAGAAGAATGTTATAAGATGATCTCTGGGCTAAATTGTTCCTGTGTTCTCGCACAGTAGCTGTTACTAAAGGTACTAGCAGAAAAAAATCATGACATAGGTTGAATCAGATGACTTCTTTCCACTTCAAGTTCCTACCGCCAACACCACCAGAAGTGTAATTCTGCAAGAGCACTGCTACGCTTGTGTCCCAGGGACACCGGGGCTAGAGGGAAACCCTGGCCCAAAACCAATGAAAAAGGAAACACGTACTTACCCCTTGCAGGAGCCGAAGACAGCAGAGGAGCACATGCCGGGAAATCACATGTGCGTTTTGTTAGCCGCGCTCACATCCAGCTGAGAGTGGGTGATGTCAGCGAGAGACGCCACCTGGCGGGAATAAAGTGCGGCCCCGGGAGCAGCGCCGGGAGGCTGCAGGAGATGACGGAGCCTGCGGGGAAGCCCGAGGTCACAAGCAGGCACGCACGGGGTTTCTCTGCCTCGGGCAGAGAAAGCTGCAGCAGCGCCGGGAGTGGCGAAAGCGGCGAGAGCCGCAGCTACGAGAACGCCAGCTGCGGAGCCGACAAGAGAGCCGGTAGGAGAGCGGGGGAGGG